ATTATTACTGCTTCTAAGCCTCTTTAATGGACAGAGTTATCTCCTTATTTATAAAGTAAACAAATATATCTAGATTAAAAGCAAAACTTCTTGCCTATATTGAGGAGGCCAAGTGTTTGTTAAGTGACATTTTACAGAACTTTTCTAACTACTGCCTGACCTTGTTTGCTCCCAGCAACAAAAGTCATTTTCCCCCTTATACATTTTCTAATTTGAGATATTCTTTCACAAGATGTTCTGACCATTTTTTGTATGTTTACTGTAGCTCACTGCTAGAGGAGAAAATTGCTCTTATGTTTTAGCTTTTATTAAATTCAAAAGGGATGTTATATGCTGTGATTATTTGAATAAACATGCATATATAGTAGTGTGCCTTCTCCATACTAACATAGTTAATTGGAGGCCAGACTATATGATCCAAACTACAAATCAAAAAGGAAGATATAATTCAATTCTATAAAATAATGATTCAACATTTATTGGATTTATCTTTATTGGCAACCTGATGTAAATTAGTCATTGTGGAGGTAGAGTGATTCATTGTGGTCCCTGCCCTTGGGAACCTGTCATAAGTGGACTAGAATAGATGAGATATTTATTCTATACCAAGTATAAGGATATTAATGCTACTGGGATTTGAAACTTAAGATAGGCTTAATTTGTGGAACAGTAAACTATTAGAAACCAATATCCTAGAGGGTAGTAAGGTTGAAATGATATATGTAAATTATAGATCGCTTAAAGGGTACTGACAAAAACTAAGAATTTCTCTATATATCTTAATATATTCCTACCTTTAAGAAGCTGTCATCTCAGAGAATGACATTTCTACTCTTAAGCACAAACTAATGGGATGCAATAAGTGTTCTGACCCAGAGGAATATTTTTTAAAATATTTTTTTCATCCTCAAGAATAAATAGTATATCACAGATGGTTCCAATAAACTTTACCAAATGAAAGGAAAAAGTGAACTAATTATACACAAAAGTTTGAAGTATAAACTTTTTATAGATAGTCTCAGTCTGGAAATTAAATCAAGAAATGAGAAGAATGTTGGCTTGAGATCATAGAGCTTTCTGTTTAAGCCAGAGTCTGAGTTTCATTAGAGTTCTACTCTTAAGAATTTCAGTCAGAATTTGAAATTCATTAACTTCAAGGGCACCTGGGTGGCTCAGTTGGTTAAGCGTCTGGCTTAACCAGACGCTTTAAGCTGATTTGATTTCAGCTCAGGTCATGATCTCAGGGGTGTGAGACTGAGCCCCACATAGGGCTCTATAATTGACATTGAGCCTGCTTAAGATTCTCTTCCTCCCCCCACCCCCACCCACTTGTGCACACACACACTCTCTCTCTAAAGAAGAAGGAAAAGAAGAAGAAAATCATTAATTTCACTATGTGCCTACTTCGTGCAAAACATTATGCTAAGCACACTGGAGCCTGAGGTGGGGATAGGGGAAAGTAACAAGTAAGATAAACCATATGGAGATGGGAGCAGAGGAGGAAAGGAGAAGGTAACAAGAGAGCAAGATGGTAACAAGTAAAACCTATGCCCAGCAATGAAGCCTTGAAAGATGAGAATTTTAGAGGTAGAGGTGTAAGGAGAAGGACATTCTAGGTTGAGAGAATGGCATACCCCAAAGATGTATGGAATGGGATGAGAAATGAAATTAAAAATTTAGGGTCAGGGGCGCCTGGGTGACTCAGTGGGTTAAGCCACTGCCTTTGGCTCAGGTCATGATCTCAGGGTCCTGGGATCGAGTCCCACATCGGGCTCTCTGCTCAGCAGGGAACCTGCTTCCCTCTCTCTCTCTCTCTCTCTCTCTCTGCCTGCCTCTCTGTCTACTTGTGATCTCTCTCTGTCAAATCAATAAATAAAATCTTAAAAAAAAAATTTAGGGTCAAATTACAAGAGTCCATAAATATCTCACTAATAAGTCTAGATTTTAATGGTCTTGGGCTCTTTCTCTAGGTCAACAGTCTTTATTTCATATTCTCTAAAGTACTCTACCAATAAACAGCAATGTTTTTCTCCTTCACACTTCAGAAAATACACTCCTCTTTATAACATTTTAATATTTTCCCATCTATAACTCTTCCATGTGTACCAACAGGCTGATTTTCAGGTTCTTCTGGTAAGACAAATTATTAACACTATAAATAGGTATTTTTAAATATTCTGCAAATAATCATGCCCATCTGAATATATTAGCATTTAATGTTAATATGAGTTATTCAGGGGATACTCAAAGGAGTTATAGATAGTATTCAGCATAAAACAGAACAAAAATGATAAATACTACCCTAGTTTAGTGAATCCTCTCAAATATCCTTGTTTACCATTTCCCCTACTGTATTTGTGGATTTGACTTTGCAAAGTAGCCAGTTTCCTAGGTTGTAGGAGACAGATTTTATTCTTTTTTTTTTTTAAGAGTTATTTATTTATTTATTTGACAGACAGAGATCACAAGTAGGCAGAGAGGCAGGCAGAGGGAGAGAGAGGGAAGCAGGCTCTCTGCTGAGCAGAGAACCCAATGCGGAGCTCGATCCCAAGACCCTGAGATCATGACCTGAGCTGAAGGCAGAGGCTTTAACCCACTGAGCCACCCAGGCGCCCCCAGATTTTATTCTTAAATCAAAAGTCATGTAGATGTTGTCTTTTAAAGAATACTGCATTATTTTTTATTGCTCAACAGAATGTTACCACTTATATTTGGTGAGTTATATCTCGAAGTTTTGTGTAAGGGTGGTTTTGTTTTGATTTTCATCTATTCAGTCTTATTTGTTCATTTCAATTCTCATCTGTTCAGTCGTCATTTTTGCTTTTAAACATTTTTTGGCTGTAATTTTTCTAACCTGGAAAAGTCATGGTAAGTCTGAAAGATTATAGGTGGGGTGGAAAAAAAGAGTATATTTTATTCTATTAAAAAATGCAGAATCTGAGGGTTTTGAAGGGGCGGGGGTAGGAGGTTGGGTGAGCCTGGTGGTGGGTATTATGGAGGGCACGTATTGTATGGAACACTGGGTGTGGTACATAAACAATGAATTCTGGTACACTGAAAATAAATTAAAAAAATAAAATAAATGCATGGAAAAAAAAGATTATATAGGCACTTTATGGATATCATTTTTCTTCTATTCCCAACAGTATAGGAAAGCGCTTTTTTAAGAATTGAAATAATTGAGTTTTTTTTTTCCAGTGGGCTTTGTATTAGAACCATAAAAATTAATATTGTATTAATTGAAATGAAATGAAATAAGATTTTTTTATCCTATACGCACTTCCCAGTCTTTTACCATTATACCTTCTTTTGTTCTATTCTACTATTTACCACACAATGGACAACTGCATCATTTTATTATTGAGCTTGTTTTACTTGAGCTAAGTTTTGTTCATTTTCTTGAAACCTTATCATACACTGGAATGTAACTCAAACTAGATTTATTTCAATGTTGAATTTGACACTTGGAGCATTGTTATTAAATTAGGAAGGGAACAGATCTAACGTGCCAGTCCTGAATTGTTTCCTACAATAAACATTGTGTTTTTCTAGTGCAATTTTTGCTGCAAGCTGTAATTCATGATTTCAGGGGGTCATTCAATACACAGCTATTTATTACTGGTCATCTATTTATTACATACCAACTGCATATATGTGCATGCAATATCTATCCTTATCTTCTTCCTGAACCCTGGATAGATATATTCTACTGCCAAGGAGACATTCCTACTTAGATATCAGGCATCTCAGAGTTAACATGGTCAGAAACAAACTTAATTTCTTCACTGATCTGCTCATCTACTAGTTTTATTCATTTTAAAAATTGGTACCACCATCTACCTAATTATTCAGGCTTAAAATATGGGAATCGTTCTTGAGTCCTCAATTTCCCTCACCCCAGATTTGTTCCCCACCCTACCCTAGCTAAATCATTCCTCCAAGCAATATGCAGGATCTGCCCATAGTCCTGTCATGTACTACTACCATCTCAGTCCAGGCCACCCTCATCTCTATCTGGGCTGCTGCTCCTCCTCCTACCCAGTCCCCCTGCTCCCACTCTAACTTTCCAGCTCATTTTTCCTTCTTTTTTTTTTTTTTTTTTAAAAAGAGCCAGTGCATGAGGAGGTGGGAGGGGCAGAGGTAGACAGAGAGAGAGAGAGAGACTCTTAAGCAGGCTCCACGCCCAGCATGGAGCCCCATGTAGGGCTCAATCTCATAACGCTGAGATCTGAGCCCAAATCAAGTCAGATGCTTAACCAACTGAGCCACCCGAGTGTCCCCATTTTTCCCCATGTTTTATAATAGATTCTCCACAGATGCCCAGAGTGATCTTTTTAAAGCATATGTCAGGCCATGTTAATTTTTTTAAATTCTCCAGTCTTCCTATCACTTTAAAACCAAACTCCTTAGCTTAGCCTAGGGAGCGGTATGTGATCTGGCCCCTATCCTTCTCCACTCTTGCTTCATTTCATACTGTCCGCTGTTCTTCCCCTACATTCCAGCCACACTGGCCTTACCCTTCGCTAACTCACCAAGCTGGCTCTTGCCTTGGCGCTTTTGTGGTTAGTTCCCTTTGCCTGGAACGCTTTGCTCCTTCCCTGACCACTCAATCTGAATGAAAGTAAATTAAGTAGTTACACTCTCTATTATAAATATTTTAACGTCTTCAGTTTCATAGCACTTCTCAGAATATGAAATTTCTTTTCATTGTTTATAATCTGTCTCTTACCCCACTAAATAGTATTCCCACTAAAAAATACGAACTTTAGGAAGGCAGTAGCGTGTTGTGCTTACTATTATACCCCCAGCATTTGGAATAGTGCCAGGCACATCATAGATATTCAGTGGGTATTGAATGAATGATGTTTGAATGAACTGTGACAAATGGTATATCTATGTTTCCTTTAACAGCAGTATTGAAATGGTTCTTTTGGTACCATTAATATTATTTTGTTAATAGGATAACACTGTTCTGCATTTCTGTCTTGTTTATGCTTTAGATATGAAGCTCCACAGATCGCCTTACGTTGTGGGATTATGCTGAGAGAATGTATTCGACATGAACCTCTTGCCAAAATCATCCTCTTTTCTAATCAGTTCCGAGACTTCTTTAAGTATGTGGAGTTGTCAACATTCGATATTGCTTCTGATGCCTTTGCTACTTTTAAGGTAATTTTTTTTTTCTGAATCAGCTAGGTCATTTAGTTTCAGCATTTAGTTAAAGTCAGTTGGCCTCTGAGGAGGCAGTTTAATTTTAAAGAAGCAGGAAAGGCTATTCCTTAGGCCTGAGCATAACCAACTGTGATTTATGATGCAAAACGTGAAGCATCAGTCATGCATTCTATTAGGCCAGTCTATCACACTGTAGAAAAAACAACTCAAAATACTTGTCACAAACGCATGCAGAATGAATTGCAATATATGTGAAAAAAGGGACATGTAATATTCTCTGCAAAGCATGCTTTCACTTATGTTAAAAACAAAGGGTATAAGCTGCCACTTCAGTTGTATCTGCACTGAATACCTCTAGAAGGTTATCAGGGCAGCAGGAACAGTGTTTACCAGCAGGGGAAGGGACTGGGTAGTGATGGGAGCTGGAGAATGACATCTTTGCCTCTGAAGGAATCACCGTACTTTATCAGTGTAATTGTAAATTCTCACTCAGTGAAGCAAATTACTCATAAATAAATTGTGTTTTCTTCATAATCCCTTGTGTTCTTATAAACTTATTATCTATTCTGTTACTAAATACGAATTTAATCTTAGTTTTATATTAACATTTTTTAATTGTTGTAAAAGAATATGTATAACATAAAATTACCATGGTAACCATTTTTCAGTGTACAGTTCAGTAGTGTGAAGTATATTCACACTGTTGTGCAACTAGTACCCGTTGAACACCGGTGCTCCATTTCTCCCTTCCCTCAGCCCCCCAGCCCCATTTTACTTTCTGTTTCCGAGTTTGACCATTCAAAAGATGTTCGGAAACATATTAGAAAAATAACATACCCCATTTGCAAACTAAATACTAGAACTTAGACATCCAATGAATGATGTCACCTTAAAGATTTCTGTCTTAGAAAATCATTTACTTATTCTTATGATCCTGCCATTATTTAATATATTTTGAAACTAGTATCACTGTCCATGGCATGTTCATTTTCCAGTAGTGGCAAATCTTTCTGAGGGCAGATAAAAGTTCTGGAAACAGCGCAAAGCTGTTTGACATTCAGGTTAACTGGATAAAGTGGGTGGTCATGGTAGCTAGGACTGTTTTTGGTCTTGGTAATAATAATGGGAATGATAATAAAAATAAATTTTAAAATGACTAAAATAGAGTCCGATTTTCTTCAGTGTATGCCACATTGGACTGAAGACAATTTTAGAAGATTTCTGAAAATATTTTAAGCTGATGATATAACAGTATTATTGACAAAAAAGTCAATTACAAAGTAGACAAGACTTGTTTAAATGTATATACTCAGATTCATTTCTTTAAAAGCATTTCAGCAATTTACTTGCTCCATTTATATCATTCCAAATTTACTTCTACTTTTTTAGGATATAAATACTGTTACCTAATTATAATCCATATATGACTTTTATTTTTTATATATTATCTTAAATAAATAATTTAATAATACTGACACAGTCCATATACCAGTATTAGTAAATACTTTAATCTTACAACTTTATGTAAATGACTTGAAATTTGCCTATAACTGGAATGATAGATAGTTCCTTTTAACAGCTCTCCAGAGGTCAAGAAAAGTGAAAGCTATAGTTTGTTATACTGAAAACTATGTATTATCTATAGACTAGGGACTTACTCAGCCTGTTCTAAGAAGGTGCCCTGAATCCATTAAAAGATGCATATACTCGCATGGTGGCAGGAAGTGTGAGAGAGCACCAGGGAGCAGAGACAAGAAACAACAGGGACTAGAGGGGAGCAGGAGGTAGGGGGACCTCTGCAAAGGGAAGGGATGGAGGGGGGGCCTGCAGCAGGGCAGTGAGAGGAGTTTGCTGTGACCAAGAAGAGGGACCACTGGTGAGTGGACCGCACCCTAAAGATAGCCTCATGAAGGGGTAGGCAAGGCTGGGCCCCTTCCGCCTGTGACACAGTCCATCATGACATTTCCACGATATCTCTGAAATGTCATGAAATGAGGAAAATTGAATTGATAAGAACTCCTGTCAGAGAGAATCCTGTTTGGGGGGGCCAATTTACTGTGGCACTTTTGTTTTAATAAATGGGGGCGGGGGTGTGTGCCTGTTTGGAACCAGGGTTGAACTGCCTGAGACAGGAGAAGAAAGGAGCCAGAGTGCCATCAGTCCCTAAATGCCTCAGCCAAGCCTGAAATAAGTTCAGGACCAATCTAGAATCTGGGTTTGAAGGGAGAGGGGTCACCAGCCTGCTGGCGTTTTCCACATGTCTCCCCCCAGTCCTTCTGCTCCCTAGATTCTCCCCGACAAGACCGAGCAGAGGAAGACCCTATATTTCTGGGGTAGAAGGCAAAGGGCAAGGGAAAGAAGGAGAAGGAGGAAGGGGATCTAGAAGACAAGATGTAAGAAGAGAAGAAGAAAACTAGAGAGAACAGCAAAGAGTGAGGGGAAGGAAGAAAAGAGAGGGAGGAAAAGTCTGGGGACAGCACTAAGTAAGGAGAGTTTCCTGGTGGGCGGAGGGAGGGGGAAGGGGAGCAAGGCCTACAGGCCTGGATGTGTGCTCAGAGTGCCGTGTAACTCGAGAGCCTGCTCCGTCCTTTCCACTGTCCACTCAGTCTCCCCTGGCAAAGCAGAGGTTGTACAGTGGCCACTGATGAAGCCCCCACAGTCTATCTAGCGCACACGGTGAGAGAGGCCTTGACGCGTCAAATCTGAAGACTAACACTTAACATAAAACATGATTCTGTTTCTTTCTGTGCCTAAACAGCTAAGGAGATGTTTTCTGTTAATAGACAGTGTAGTCCCATTTTTTTTTCCCTTTTCTGTGTGATGACTCTGCTGTCATGCAAATAGAGTTGGTTCTTTTTCTAAAAGACTGTAAGTAAAGCTTCACAAATAATTATAAACAAAGAACAAACTCTGAAACAAATCTGTATTTTTCAAAATTTCCCCCAAAGATTTTTCAACATTTAATAAAATAAACTATACTTGATAATAATGTCTTGCTATCATATGTTCAACCCAATTTAATTTGCAGCATTATGTTAAATATCAAAAATAAATTGATGTTTTAAGCTATACCTTAGCATATTTTCCGTCAAACTTAAGTCTCTGAAAATCTAAATAACCATAAAAAGTTTTCTAGTATGCTTAAAAGAAAAAAAAGTTGGGGGGTCCCCTGGGTGGCTCAGTCTGTTAAGCATCCAACTCTTTATTTCAGCTCAGGTCATGACCTCAGGATTCTTAGATCCCTGTAGTGGGCTTCTTGCTTAGCAGGGAGTCTACTTACTTTTTTTTTTAAGATTTTATTTACTTATTTGACAGAGAGAGATATCACAAGTAGGCAGAGAAGCAGGCAGAGGGGAGGGCGGGGAAGCAGGCTCTCTGCTGAGCAGGGAGCCGGACACGGGGCTCGATCCCAGGACCCTGAGATCATGACCTGAGCCGGAGGCAGAGGCTTTAACCCACTGAGCCACCCAGGTGCCCCAGGGAGTCTACTTATTATTGTTTCTCTCTCTCCCCTCCCAAATAAATAAAGCTTTAAAAAAAAAAAGTTTTCCAGCATGCTAACAATATTGGAAATGTCAATTCATATTTTTCCAAAATGCTGTGGTTAATATAATACAACAGGGACCATAAGTCAGTTTCTTTTTAAGTAGATGGCTTCAGGGGGTTTTGGTTGTCTGGCTGGCTTGGTTTTAGTGTGATTTTCTTTTGGTTTTGTCTTTTTGTTTTTAACCTCTTAGACTTGCCTTTTTTGTTCTGAGCTCTAAGATGACTGTTGCCCAGTTTACTCATTAATAAACAATGAATAAACAATTTAACATTGTTTATATTTTTTGTCACAGTATTGTCTACAAATTGTCCTTTCCCAGAAAACATTCCTAACAATCAGCATTTCTTTCATCCCTCCTTCCATGACATGATAGAAGGGGTTTGAATTCCACCTCCCTCTGCTACCTGACTGGCTGTATGTCCTTGAGCAAGGAGTTAACCTTGGAGTTTCATTTTCCTCTCCTGTGAGATGAAGAAAATAATCCCTGCCTTGCAGAGTTGTGACAATGAGAAATCACATGTGTAAAGAGCTCTGCATGTTCCCCGACACATAGTAAATCCTCCAAGAATGGCAGTTGCTGCTTGGCCCATCTACTGTCACGTCCCTGCCATTGAGTGTGTTTCTGTCACTTCACCCTGTGTCTCCCAAGGTGTGCAGAAGTCCCTCCATAGCAATATCAGATTTTTTTTTTAGCATAATGCATAGACTATGCAAAACTTAGTCTTGTCAAAACAGAATTGTGAGGAGGTGGGATGAAAGCGTGCACTGTTTCAAATAATTTAAAATTTTAAATTATTTAAAATCTGAACTTTATGTCTCTTTGCAACTTTCTGCTTTTTCCTTTTTGGATAGGATTTTAGCTGATTTTTTTTTCCCACGTCATGTGATCTATAATGATGAAGCAATTATATTTGTCTTTATATTATGTGTATATATGCATGGGTATATGTATATATATGGTCAGTTCCTCCAGTTTTGCACATACATTTACTACAAAAATTTGAGGGTGTAGCTAGGAATATATACACACAAGTGTGAGAGTATGTGTGTGTGTGGGTGGGTGGGTGTGGGTGGGTGTGTAACAGAGGGAGAGAGAATCATTTATTGGCTGTACCCACCATGTACACATGCCGGAGGAATTCTACCCCATTATATTTTATTTTTCTATTATTGGATACGTAAATTATTTCCAGTTTTTTTCCTTTGGAATTTGAAGGAGCTGCTACTAACAGGACTTCCTCCCAATTCCTCTTTCCCTGGAGTAACACTAACAGATAGTGAATGGAAACCTTGACGGGCAGCACTCATCTGCACAGTGCTCTGTCTGCTGCCACCACCACTGTATGTGCAGGCCCGGGGCTGTGAGAGGGCACCGTCCCCACAGTCAAGCCTGCTGACTATTCCAACAGGTGGATCCAGGTCTGCTGCAGTCCACAGAAGGAAACCCTTTCTAACCAGGGTCAGCTCAGAAAAATCACTGATCCTGCTCAGGACATTATTAGGGAAGGGGGTGTCTGAAAACTAGGGACCCCAGAGAATGCCATGGAACTACCTTGCTCTTTTGGGGGTCCCGTGATAGAGGAACTAGTTTGAATTTTGACCTCAGAGAGAACAGGAATGAATTCCTCTAGCGGGTTTTCCCATTTTAAAGTTCCAGTTCCAAAAGAATGCTGAATGTTCTACTGGGGAAAAAAAAGTACGGGTTTCTACTAATAGATGCAGTGCTCAATCAACATGTGGTGATAAGTAATAAAATGATATCAATAGCCAGTCTCATTGTCCTGGAACTTGAAAATTAATAGCACAAAAATGCATTAAATATTTTACTTATTTAAATAGAAATAGGTGAGTTTTGCCCTTGGCTGCTGCCTTCTTGATCTCTGTGAATTTATGTTGGGATCTTCTATATGCTTTTAGGAAGTTTTAATTAAATGTGTATTAAAGCATAAGAACTTATTTTGGAAAACTTTAAAATTCTTGTTATGTTTTTAATTAAATTCTATCTAGACAGGGTATTTAGCCTCTAAGCTTATAAAAGGGATTAGGTGAGGCTTATTTTCTTTCAACATTAAGGTGAATTAAGGATATAATTTAGGTGTGAGCTGAAGACAGTCAAATGTTCCTTTATGCTTTTGTTCAGTTTTCTGAGAGTTATGCCTGTAAGATCAGTCTACTTGTCTTTAGTTTTGAATGAGTGTGTTGTATGACTTAGTCACCACACATCACCACACAGTCCATTAACCCCTGAGCAGGAGGCGCCTGAGATGTCCCTGTTAAGCATCATTTCTGTGCTTCCCAGTATCCTAGGCACCTCTGTTTTAAACGTGGTTAAGAAAAAAACTAAAGGTTGAGATTCCTGAAACTCTTTTAACTTGTGAGATATGGTTTTAAGCCATTAGGCATTCTTTTAAAATACGTTATTAACTACATTTCGAATAGCTCATCATAGACTTTATTTGGATATTTATTAGATTGTGGTCACAATATAGTCATGGCTTGAAGAAATATACTGTTAAACCCCATCTTTTAGGTGCTGTTTGTTTCACTAGTTAAATTATTTCTATCATAAATTTAACAATGATACGAATTAAAACCCTTTGTTGTTGTTGACATGAAACAGACTTGCATTTCACATCTTAAACTAAGAATGGAAATAATTTTGTGGATGTAAAGAAAATATTCTTCAGAAACTATATGTTTCAAATGAATGGACTTATAACATTCTTAGAAAAGCCAGATTTATAAAATCTATTGGCTATAGTAATTATATTTCACTTAAATGTTCTTTTTCTAGGACTTACTAACCAGACATAAAGTGTTGGTCGCAGACTTCTTAGAACAAAATTATGACACTGTAAGTAGAAGTCCTTTTTGACATTTTACTTCCTTTTCTTCCCCCTCCCCTGCCTTAGATCTATGGACACTTGCTCCTGTTTATGATTTACAACAAACATGAACCATAGTCTACCGGCACCCAACTTGTCTATTTACCTGGTCATCAGGAAACTTTGTGGAAAATTGAGAAAGGCAGGAGATCGGGGCTTTCTCATTTTTCACACCTGTTTCTGTTGTTGTATCTTGAGCTCCACAAAATGACTGGCACCTGCTTACTTTGACCCTGATTTAAGAGCATCCACATTGCCCTCAAGGGGCAGTAGGTATCCATAAAAGAGCACTCCACCCTCACTAAAAGAAATCATTTTATTTGCTTGATGATTAGTTTTACTTGTAGAAATGCCAAAATATTTCTGTCTTCCAACTCCCTTCTCAAATGGTGAATCCAACCCATCCTTTTGAGATTATGCTAAAACATGACTCTTCTAGAAGGCTTTCCTTAATCCTACCCATTCACATTTATGCCCGAGTACTCCCTCCCCCGCCCTGCTGCCTCCATTTTCCACATTGTATTATGGTGTGTCTGTACCTTCCTGGCTGGTTCTTGAGCTCCCTGAGAGGCAGGAACCTGATCAGATACTGTAGAGCTAGATGGAATGTTCAAGCCTCATTAGATGTCCACTGATAATAAGTGAAAATAAGAGAGCTAAGATAGTTTATGACGAGACCCGGGGCATTAGCTACTAATCTCTTCTATGGAATGAGTGATGTAAACGTTTTGTGCAGGAATGCTTTGCCTTCAGGAAATAGTACACAACAATATGGAAGACTGTAAACTCATTCTCTTTGATCCCTTGTTTACCCAATTTTGTCTTTGTACCTATAGTCACGTCTTGTGTAATTTGGTAGCTACACAGACACTGAGCCTGCTGCACTGACCTGAACACCAGCTCTGAGAACTCATGCTCGCTCAGACATTTCATACTTTCTGAGTTTCATATTTCTTTAAAAAGTAAACTATGAAATGGGAGCACATGACATCTGACTCTAAAATAATGAAACTGGCATCCTGGGGAGTCAGTATTACCTTATACACATATTTGAAGTTTTTGGTCATATATGGTTGCACTCGTGGAATTTAAGAAACAAACGAGGAAAAAGAAGAGAGAAAAAGAGAAACCAAGAAACAGACTGTTAACTATAGAGAACACACTTATGGTTACCAGAGGGGAGGTGGGTGGAGGGATGGGGGAAATAGGGAAGGGGGCTTAAAGAGTGCACTCACTGGTCATTATGAGCACTAGGTGATGTGTGGAACTGTTGAATGACTACATTATACACCTAAAACTAATATAATACTGTACATTAACTATACTGGAACTAAAAGTTTTAAAAACTTGAGTCCCACAAAATCCTGAAAGAATAATAGTAATTCCTTCCTATAAAAGAGTATAATTATTATGACTTTAATGTGAGCTACATTGTTTTGTTGTACTTTTCACATTCTTAATTCCCTGTCAGTAATCATCCTCTGTGGGCACTTCTTGCCCGCATCACACCCGTACACACACATCTCACACTCCGCCCTCTGAGGACCAGGAATGGTTTCCATTAACCCCTCAGCCCCTGGACTCTCCTACCTTCAGTTCTCCATTGGGCTTGTTCTTCCTCCCTCTGTGGTCTCTGAGGCATGTCCTTGCCTGGTAGGAGGTCCACGCTTAGCTTCCCCAGCATCTGGCACTCTGTGTGAAAATGAAGGACCTGGGCAATGGTTGACAGCCACAGTGGGAAACAGGGGCCCCAAACCCCAGTGTCCCCCAGCTTTTGGTGAGAGTGGAAGTCCTCCAGAGAGACCAGCTGGAGGTGGCAAAAGTTGCCCTATTCATCTGTCTACACTATGAATTTGGCAGTTTGATTCTTCATGGGGTATCATGTGAAGCCCTAAGTGTGTTTAATTTTCTCCTAAATTATTCATGTGCTAATAGCTACCAGCTAGCTACCAACCTCTCTAAAATGGCATGAAATGTGTTATTTAGTTACCCATTTAATAGATGAGTTAATAAAATGTTTTATTCAAAAGAATGTATTGAGAGGACTCAAATACTCCATTTTTCTTCTCAATTTTTAATTTGCAAAACTAAAATTAAGTGGACAAGTACATCTGTTGTATCACTTGACCCTCCTACCCCCCAGTATCTTTATGTGTAAATGAGAATGGCGAAATGGGGGAAAGCTCACTGTGGACAGTGTGATCAGCACAAGGTTATTAAGCACAGAGACAGATGCAAAGCACAGCTGTTGGGCTGCCCTGGCCTGGCGAGTTGGGGATTTCCCTTCGAAGCAAGAGAGCAAGCAACCCTAATGCAGAGAAACCACTGCTAGTTTTATGCTCTAATATTTATTTTCTTTTCATTAGATTTTTGAAGACTATGAGAAATTGCTTCAGTCTGAGAATTATGTGACTAAGAGACAATCTATAAAGGTAATATGAAATTTCTTTAAGTTATCAGTTGGTATCTTACTGGTAAATGATGGCTCTGAGTGGACACGTACATAAAGAAAAATGAAGGTGTTCCTTTTTTTTTTTGTAACTTGGAAAATATGTTTCATGTTATGACTGTACTTTGTAGCAAAACAGTGTAAATGCCCTGACTCAAAGACTTTTTGGAAGTAAGAGTATAAACAATAGGTACATGATAAAGTAGAATTTAGTATATTGCAGCTCCGAAAGCAAATCAAGCTTAAGTTAATTTAAATACAACTACAGTTCTCTCCTTGGGTGTGTTTTCTGGAGATGAAAAGAAATCACTCTTAGCTTGAAATTAAGATCTGAATTACCATTTACAAGGAAGAATCAGCAAGGTTCTCCTGTAGTTCTCTTTTGGTGTATCTGGAACAGGAAAAAATGACCCTATTTCTCTTAGACATCTCTCTGTAAACTAGACTTTGTAGGCTATTTTACAGAGAAGGGGAGAAGAAAAGGTTATGTAATGGGGCTTACCCCCCATCTGAGAAGCACTTACCCCCAGATTTGTAACAAATTTTTCCAAAGTTTTTTTTTTTGTTTTTTTGTTTTTTGTTTTTTACCATTTTGCACTGCTGGATTTCATATTCTGAGCATTCTTGTTAGTGTTTTACTGTAGGTCATCTTTAACACCTCCACCATTTAACATGAATGACATTTTCAAATTGTATTTCCAGCAAAGATTCTGAAATATGAAAATAGTCACTCTCAGAGTGACCATTAACTTAGTGTTAAAAGAATAATCTTTAATAAATTTGGGTACTTGATCATGGACCCCAAACTGTGCTTTTTTAAAAATGCTAGTATTATTACACTGAAACAGACTTTGGAAAGAGGTTAAAAGATGGTATCACCAGCTGGAAAAGAAAATAAAGTCAATTCCCAATTATTTGCAAATAGCTTAGTTGGATCAATTATTGGGGATGGTGAGGAGAGTGATAGAGCTTTCCATTTGGTCAACAAATATTTATGTGCTCCTATTCCTAACATTACAGTGACAGCCAAGAACAAAATTAAGTCACACCCCAATGGATTTCACATTCTGTTGGAGGAGAACAGACAATAAATAAATAAAAAGATAAATATATAACTTTCAGGTGATTTTAGAACAATTAAGGAAGGTACAAGGACAGGAAGTGATGACAGGTGATGGGGTGTTTGTGTGGCATTTGCTATTGCAGATTATATCACCTATGAAATGCCTGTGGAAGTTCACTGTCCCCCAGCCCAGACAGCCCAGCAAAGTAGAGCCACATAGTGAGTAGCCTTCCCTCCTGGGGGTGCCTAGTTGGCACAGTCAGTTGAACGTCCCACTCTGGGTTTCGGCTCAGGTCGTGATCTGTGGGTCTTGAGATCAAGCCCACATGGGGCTCCACACTCAGTACAGAGTCTGCTTGGGACTCTCTCTCCCTCTCCTTCTGCCCCTCCCCTACCTCCCAGCCTGGCCTCAACTAAATAAATTAATTTTCTAAAAAGTGCCTGGAAGCAGGCATTTGGTCAAGAGGAGGTAGGACTGCTCCAGTGGGGGTGGGAAGTCCATTAGAGCTGCATCTCTATCTACCCTTCAGATCCCATTCAGATAGTCCAAAGAATGTTATTGGCAGGTATTAATTGACTGGCTTCGTCAAGCACTTATATGATTTTTGAGCTTACTAAACATCACACATTAGTTTTACATGTTGGGATAATGACATTCATAGAACAATGTGTTTGGTTCTAAAAATTGAATACACTTTTTTTTTAAGATTTTATTTATTTGACAGACAGAGGTCACAAGTAGGCAGAGAGGCAGACAGAGAGAGAGAGAGGAGGAAGCAGGCTCCCTGCTGAGCAGAGAGCCCCATGTGGGGCTCAATCCCAGGACCCTGGGATCACGACCCGAGCTGAAGGCAGAGGCTTTAACCCACTGAGCCACCCAGGCGCCCCTTGAATACACTTTTAACTGAAGTGATAAACAAAGTGTATTTTGTGTGACATTTTTATCAATTCACTTTACCCCTGATTTTGCCTTAGCCGTGATCTGCCTTCCCCTGAATTTGTGCCCTGGCTGTTCCAGCATTACCCACTGTGGGTGGGTGGGGGGTGGGGGTGGGGTCGGGGGGTCAGCATGCTAATTTCAGCCAGTCATTCAGCACTCTTTATTGAGTTTCCCCTTGTGTGGAAACCTATACACGGTGATCTACATAGAAACATACCTTGGGGGGCACCTGGGTGGCTCAGTGGGTTAAGCCTCTGCCTTCAGCTCAGGTCATGATCTCAAGGTCCTGAGATGGAGCCCCACATGGGGCTTTCTGCTCGGCAGGGAGCCTGCTTCCCCCTCTCTCTCTGCCTGCCTCTCTGCCTACTTGTGATCTCTCCCTCTCTCTCTGTCAAATAAATAAATAAAATCTTTTAAAAAGAAAGAAAGAAAAGAAAACAAAACAAAACAAAACAAAACAAAACAAAACATACCTTGGGTTCACTGCTCTTGCTGCTGGAGCCTGGATTGAGGAGATTGAGCTTCAGACAAAGGCAGTGACATCATGCCATGCTCTCCCAGGTCCAGAAAGCTTAAGAGCGTTTGAAGATAAGGCTGCATCCTGTTGCCACAGCTGCATACCTGAAGAACAGAATTCCTTATCTGTGAATAAGCTCCCCAGCCAAAACAGGGGAGCTGGTCTGTATTATAGGACATCATTGCCCTCAGAGGGAAGGAAAAACGAACAGTAAACAGACCTAACAGTGCTCTGAGATCTCTCATACGTTTTCTAAATCCTCCCTCTTTTTAGTGGTAATCTATAAGGTCCTGAACCAAAGTAGCAGCATTGGTATGAACTAAGGCTATGGAACTAAAGTGGGATCAAGAAAGCTGAAATTCAGAGACTTTAGAATTTATCCTTGTACCATTTTCAACAGTGACAGGAATTGGTGATAGAAATTTTTCTGTTGATTGACTGTCTCTAGGGCCTTAAGTGAAGTTACAAAGCTAACGGGTGTTCCTCTAACCATCTCCCTTCTGGGCCTTCTTCCCACTTCTTCCTTCATATTACGCTGTCATCCCTTCCTACTCATGTGCCCATTGCACTCATTTTGCTCTCAAGGTGTCAGCTCCCTGGCAGGATGCATTTGCACTTGAAAATAGAAGCCTGTTAATTCAGCGCGTGTGTGATTGGTACAATATGGAATCGAAATTTGGTGGGTAGTAAAGGGCAGTGAGAAGGTTCCTTCCTCACTGCTATCTGCTGCCACCTGGCTCTCCGCTTCCCAGCCCCCTTTCCGAGTGGCTCTGAGGCCAGACACCTCCGCACTGTACCCAGCAGCACAGGCAAGGAGCAACCGAGTCCACGTGGCGTACTGAAACGCTTCCTTTCCCACTTGATTGTGCCTCCTCCTTATGTACGGATGCCCCAGGCCACTCAGAAGGCCTCTTTCCTGTTCTTTGCTAATCCACCCAGATATACTATGTTGGCTGCTACTCTTGCCTAAAATCTTTTACAGTGGCATGTCTCACAAATATTTTATTTGCAGTGTGGTAAAACCGAGCACTGGTTGGACACCGAAGGAAACTAGTAAAAGACAGATGAAGGATATCTAAGAATGCAGAAATTGTTAAAATGGGTACTAAAGATTTGGCTTTTTTGAATGCTAGATTATAGGCAGAGACATCACTAAAATGGTCTTATTTCCCTGTATTCAAGGAGAGAGCTGTGTACTCCTGTCCTTAATAGAAAAATGTTGTTTTGGAAAGCTCTGCTGGTGCACTGTTGGTTTTTCCTTTTGAGAATTAGGTCTGTGGTAGCAATATGTTCTGTTTTGACCCAGCCATGTTTATATCTCCGAATTCTGTAATATTTTATACATAGATATTTCATCATTTTAGAAAATAAGAGAGTTTAGATTCTTTTAAGAGCATACTTACAGTATTCTGTAAGTGATAAGCTGTCTTAAAGCTAGGCTATTTTCTCACTCCCCTTGCTTCCAGCTGTCTTTTGGTAATCATATTCTAAATTTTCCTGAACTACCTTGGGAAGCTTAGATTCCTGGTGTCAATAAAAAATGATTAACAGAGAAATTCCTTCCCCTCACATGACAGAGCTTAGGAATTTATTTCTTACTATCTTCAGAGCCATTTAATTACTAGCAAGAAAGATTTATATAAATCAAAAGAAGCTTGTAGAATTTTGGGGGTTTCTGGTTCTGGTCAATTTCATTGAAACACTAAGTTTAAAAAAAACTCATTATTTCTACTTGCTGTGCTTGGCTTTACTCTGTAATATTGAAGCCTATAAAATCTAATATAGAGAACTAAAAACATTTTTTTCCATTTTATCATTTTAAATGCTTTGTATTAAGATGAAATGCAGCATTTTGTCATTGTCAGTATTAATTAAAATAGATTAACATTTAATGGTTAAAGAGTCAATGTTGGTCAAATGATTTAACACGATTGTTTTAGAAAAGCAGTGAAATTATATTAGCAAAGGACAGATTGGATAAAACTTACATGTAGGCATCCCTTTGTAATAAAAATTAAAGTGACTTAACTTAATCTGAATTTAACTTATAAATGTCACTTCAGCAAATTCTTGAGTGTGTGTGTGTTTGCACAAATTTTGAGGGTAAATTTTTTAATGCAATGTATTATTGAAAGATCTTTTGATATGTTTATGCGTGTACTATATATGTATTTGTATTCATGTGATATGTATTATATTTGATTTTTATATATGTTTTATATAAAAATATCTTTATATCAATATAGAATCTGTAGGTAGATATACAGATCTATATCTGCAATGAAGCATAGCTATATAAATGCCCATGTAAATCTTAAGTGGGTATAAATTACATACATAGACACATATATAAATTCTGTCAGCTTTACAACCAAAAGGGGCTGGGTCTTTTTTTGAGAGTCTGGGAGCCATCCTGCTGACATGTAAACATGTAGGAAGGTGGCACGCCTGTGTCCCCGATGTCGTTGGGGAAATTACCCTTGGTGCTTCTCTCTGAGCTGTAACCATTTGCTTGTCAGAGACATAAGAGTTTTATGATTCTCTTCATTACCTGAATAAAGGCAATTAGCTAAAACAAGTAGCTTCCTTAGTGGCCAGGTGGGTTCAGAGGGAACTGTGAGGGGTGCTTCGGAGGGAACTATGAGGGGTGCATAGCGAAAGGCACTGTCAAGCCCTCTGACAGGGAATGGTTTACCTTTCTTCTTGAGAAGACACGTATGTAGGGGATCATGGCTGCTTGGCCATATAAATCAGGTGGAGTTTTATGTGTCTTCCTAATGTCTTTTGCACAGATTACCTATAATGTTGTGTTGCGGATACGCTTATTCAATCATCGAACTGCTTTCTTTCTTCTCTGCATTTTGTGGACTTTATTTCCCCAGCAGCACCCACACACATCACACAGTTAAGCTGTAAAGGGGACAAATACAAACAAGAGTTCATACGTGTCCACATGGAGCTTATGTTCCAAAGAGGCAAGTAAGTCTGTACTGTAAGGCAGAGTGAGTACAGCTGGGGAGAAACAGAGCATAGAGCAGGGGTAGAATGGTGGTTTGCAGGGGCTGGGAGGCGGGGGGGATGGGAGGTGTTGGTCAGTGGGTTCACACTTTCAGTTATGAGAAGACTAAGTCCTGAGGATCCAATGTACCGCCTGGTGACTACAGTGAATAGCACTGTGAGTACTGTGCTGAGTGCTTGAAATTTGCAGAGAGAAGATCTTGGCGCTCTCATCACACACCAAACCAAAGGGCAGCTGTGAGGGGATGGATGTGTTAATTAACCTGATCGCGGTCAGTGTTTCACGATGTAAATATATTTCAAATCATCATGACGTGCTCTTCAAATATAGGCAGTTTTGTCAATTATGTCTAAATAAAGCTGGGGGAAACACTGGGGTCAAGGAGAGTGAGGCCACAGAGGCAGAACAACGAGGAGTAAGTGGGGCTGCAAGGAAAGGAAGCAGAAGCGACTCCAGAGCATAGAAGCCTTTGAATGCTATCTTAAGGAGTTTAATTTTCTCCCCTGAATCCATAGGCATCCAGGGACTCATTTGTTTATTCGTGCTCTCTCTCGGTGGAATTACTAACATGAATAGGGCTGAGCTTCAGGAAGGTGCGTTTGGCACAAGCAGGAGGGACTGGGTTGGGTCTAGCCTGAAGAAGGGACCATTCAGCGTGCTTGCCCAGAAGCAGGCGAGAGGCAATGAGGGCTGCAAGGAGGGTATTGGCAATAAAAGCAGAAGGAAGAATGTTGGAGACATCTACAGACAGAAAATTGGCAGACCTTGGATGTAGATTCGACGCAAGGGAAAGAAGGAGCCAAGGAAGATTTCAGCTCTTTCCGAGGAGGCTGGCTGGCCATGGCGTCATTAACAACGAGGGGAAGGAACTGGTTTCAGAGATGCCGAGTGTGACTGGCCAGCAAAGTGGTCCACTGGGCCACCAGACGGGCAGTTAGAAGCATTGGTATAGACCTCAGGAAAGAAACTGAGACTCCAAATGTAGGTTTGGGAGATATCTCCCTAGATGTTACGGTTGAAGCCATGGGCATAGATGAGACTGGAGAGAGAAGAAAGATCAGAGATTCACGTATACCACTTGGAAAACGCCTGCATGTGTAGAGCAGAAGGAAGGAGAACAGTAACACAGGAGCAAAGAAGCAAGCTGCAAGAGATAAGAAACCAGAAGAATGCAGTGGCCTTGAAACCAAGAGCAAAGAAGTTTCCAGAAGAGTGTTCAGTTAGCTTTAGATGCTGCAGAGAAATTAAGGACAATGAAGATGAACAGTTTACATGACTACTGTCCTGTGTTTGAGACTAACCAGCTAACATCCAACAGTGGTCATTATGTCTTATATTTAACAACCATTATTTCTGTGCACTAACATAACCTTAAGGTATGTAGTTCTTATTTGTTAAATAGACAAAAGCTGCATCACAGGCAAGGTCGTTGTTTACTGGCAGCCAGACACACTCACACACACACACACACACCCCACTACATGCACACCTCTTGGGTTCTGTTGCTGGACTGTATTGTGATAGACAGCCAGCCCATAGTTCCATGTGCTTTCTTCGCCCATCCAGGATTTCTGTAAGCATCAGTACCATGAGGCATCCAGAAAAAGTCTGGTGAATAGGAGAATTTGAAAATAAGTAGATCATATATAAAACTTTGTGAAGGGTATACATTTCAGCTGCCTTGTTGCTGAAGTTTTAGGAATTTTACCCCTGTATGAGAATAAAAGTTTATGAGTAAAGAACGGTCAACTGTGCTGCTAGTTGAAGACTATTCTTGGATATTTTTTATTTTGTTTTGAGTTGTCTTAGTCTGTTTATGCTGCTATAACAAAAATGCCGCAGACTGGGTGGCTTAAGCAACACTTATTTTTCATAGTTTTGGAGGCTATGCAATCCAAGATCAAGGTGCTGGCCGTAAGAGAGCTCTCTGGGTCTCTTTGATAAGAAAACCTGTCCCATTCCTGTGATCCTACCTTCCCAGAGGTCCTACCTCCCAATACCTTCACATTTGGGGTTAGGATTTCAGCATGTAGATTTCAGGGAGGCACAGACATTCAGCTCATAACATGGAATAATGCTGCATTTGGAGGGAGCTATTAATCTGTCACCAGAAAATGTTTTGTTTTACTCTTTTAAAAACACTTGCTTAATATGGATTCAGGGTTAATGCCCCCCCGCCCCCAGCTATCTAGCTGGTTTTGTAACAAAAGTTAAGGGGAAGGTAAGACTCACTTGACATAACCTATTTTCCCCAGTGAGCTACTAGAGTACATTTATTCAGGGAAGGGAGGTATAACTGTAGAATCAATTTTGTTATTCTTTCTTATTCTACCATAATGCCTAAGAAGCAATGCAGTGCTGGGAAGCAAGATTAAAGTGAGCAATTAAAATAATAAATTCGTTTCTGGCTAGCTCTAGGTGAGAGCTACAAAGAGAGCTTTTTAAAGCTACAGCAGCGACTGGCTTTAAAAAAAAAATTCAGAAACGCATTAATCACCAACTTTAGCAAAATTGTGTGAAAAGCTTAAAATAACTTAATAATAACTACTCCTTTCATGCCTGTGCTAAATGTTAAAATGCACTTAAGGACTCTTCATTTTTTTTCACGTCAACATTCCTAACCACATCTATCATTTGTTTTTCAGAGAAAAGTGTGATACATTTTGAATCAGATGAGTCTCAGATAGATTATATCTCTGATTTTGTTTTTTTTGTTTGTTTCTTTGTGTCTTGTTTTCTGTTTTTATAGCTGCTAGGTGAGCTGATCCTGGACCGACACAACTTTGCCATTATGACAAAGTACATCAGCAAGCCAGAGAACCTCAAACTGATGATGAACCTGCTTCGAGATAAAAGTCCCAACATTCAGTTTGAAGCCTTCCATGTCTTTAAGGTAAAGTGCCGCGGAAATAACCTGGGCATTTGTTTTTTTCACTTTCCAGTGGCAAACTCCCTGTTTACCCTCCTTTATACTTGAGAGAAAATGAAACAGGCAGTCTTTCCATTTTGCATGACTTGGACGAAATTTTAGAGTTATTTTAATGAATGCCCATTTGTTTCTAATCCCTATCTCTAAATATTTTCATTTTTTTCCACTGAGAAAATAGGTGGATACTGTTTCCCAAAAGTTACTAAAATAATCAGGATAGAGCCAGATTCCAAATCCCGAGTGTTGGAATTTGAATGCTTCACCTTCTGCCTTAAGTGTTTCTTTGAACCTTAAATGAAGCACTGAAAAAATACCGGGGTACTGCTCACTTTTATTACCTGTTTAGAAATATTTTTTAAGTGCATTTTGCTGTGAATAGAAAGTAGCTCCCATAACACCGGTTTCTTCTGGAGCTATATTCACATGGTACACAAAATTGATATCTTAATTTTATCACTTAATGCTTTGCCAGAAGTGAACACTAATCCATTATTGTTATGTATGGGTTTTAGAGCCAGGAGTTTTATTGGCACAGTTCATCATTTGGTTTGTTTACTCTAGTTTACTTAAACATTTCTTTTTTTTATATATTTAGGTTATTTCCATTTTTTTTCCTACTAAGAAGAATGCTACAATGAGCATTTTCTATATCCAGCTAGTTGTTTGTTTTTTTTTTTCCCATATTTAGGATTATTTTCTTAGGCTAGATATCTGGAATAGAATTAAGAGGAGAATTCCAAGCTTTTTTGGGGTATTTATAATGTCTGTTCAGTGACTGAATTTATAAATCTGTAAATGGGAGAGACATGGCAATTTATAAGGTATATAACTGTTGCTTTGAGAGGTTAATAAAAAAAATTTTTTTTAGTCCATCTTCCAGCTACCAGGTCTGTATTGTCCAGAGAGTCACTAGAGCAATTCAAATACCAAACTAACTTATAAATTCCATTCAGTGGTGTTCAAAATCCCAACAGGACTTCTCCTGGCCCTTGACAAGCTGATTCTAAAATTTGTGTGGTAGAACAATGGCCTAAGATTTTGTGTGGCCACAAAACATAATAGGAAGTATTTAGTTAACTACATCAAATTTAGAACTTCTGTTCATAAAGACAGAATAAGCAAAGTGAAAAGACAGGATAGAATGTGATACATATAACTGACAAATCATTCAGAGAAAGAATTCAATAGAAAAGTGGGCAAAGGAGGCAAGTCGGTCATTTACAGATAAGGGGAACTGAACAATAAATAGGGGAAGATGATCATTTACTAAGTAACATTGGCAATTGCCATTGAAATATCAATGAGGTATCATTTTACATTCTTTGTAATGGTAAAATGTTTAAGTCTGACAAATCAAATATTGGTAAGGTTGGAGGGCAGTAGAGGCTGTCTATATACTGTAAGTTGGTACAACCACTTTGAAGAGCAATTTAGTAAAATAAAGAACTGAATGTACACATATCCTTCAATCCTGAAATCTCATCTCTCAGCAATTTTTTTTTTAAGTAGGCTCCACACCCAGCAAGGAGCGCAACCGCAGGGCTTGAACTCATGACCCTGAGATTAAGACCTGAGCTGAGATCAAGAGTCAGACACTTGAACTGAACCACGCCAAGTGCCCCCTCAGCAATTTTTTAGAGACACTCTTCTACATGTGCACAAGGAATTATGTATAAAAATGTTTATCACAACATTGTTTAGAATAGTGTAAAATGAGAAAAAAAAACCACAAATGGTCATCAAAGGAGAAGGGGAAAATAAATTGTGTTATATTCGTACAGTAGCATGTAGTAATGCGTTAAAATTAATCGAGTTATATAGATCAATGTGGGTAAATCCCAAACATCGAATGAAAAAAACAAACATTAAAAAGATATTATTTATTTAAAGTTTGAAAACATTCAAAACAGCACTATATATGGATTCAAACTTATGCAGTTATAGTCTAATAACCTGTATGGGGTTGGTAAATACCAAATTCAGTACAGCAGTCACCTCAGCAGGGAAGGGTAGGGAGGAGGATGGTATCCTGAAGAGGTGACAACAGCCTCCAACTATATCTGTAGTGTTTTATTTTATTAAAAAGTCTGAAGGCAAGGGGCACCTGGGTGGCTCAGTGGGTTAAGCCTCTGCCTTTGCTTGAGGTGCATCGGGCTCTCTGCTCAGCTGGGAGCCTGCTTCCTCCTCTCTCTCTGCCTGCCTCTCTGTCTACTTGTGATCTCTGTCTGTCAAATAAATAAATAAAATCTTTTTTAAAAAATCTGAAGGCAAGTATGGCAAAAATTTTAGATTTTGATAGAGCACATAGTGGGAACATGAGTGTGATATGTTTTGTTATACTCTGCTCTATGTCAGAATTATTTCATACAAAATAAACGCAATTCAGAAGAACCATAAATTGATGGCTGTGGCACTGGAAGATGTCTACACAGTAGAAATGATAGACCCTCTCAAGACCGCTCAAGAAACTGTAGAAGGCTGTGTGTCATGTCTTTCAGCTCCCATGGAATTTTAATATATCCTCCTAGATGAGAACAAGCTTCATTTAATTTTGTTCAAAAATGCAGTATTATGGACATGTTCAGTGGGTGGTCAAATAGAAATAACCTACTTCCGTCCTCAGAATTTGGATCCTCTAATCACCGGACAGAGTAGGTGCATTTAAAAATAGCTGACCACTTGTTTACTTGTATGTGTATGAACTGGGCCTACCGTGTACCCTATGTTTCCACCACCAGAGTATGAACTGAATTGTTCACTTGCCAAATACAATATTTTGTTATTTAGAAAAAGTAATGAGTCCTAGAGGTTTTTTTTTTTCACAGTTGTGTATTAATAGTTTTTTTTTTTCCCCCAATAAAACACCTTCCATAAGGTGCAAAAAATGTGGAACACACTGCTAAAAATGTCCTTGCCAGATTATTTTCATTAGCTTGCCGGTAATTTCAAGGAATTGAATGAGATACGATTTCATGTTTTTTTGTGCTGTGGACAAGCAGGATGGTGTGGTAGGAAAGTGCTGGATGGAGGCCAAGAAACCTGGGTCTTCGTTCTGGCTTAGTTGCCACCAGTGACTTTGGGCAAACCCATCTGGATCCATTTCCTCACTTGTAAAGTGCAAGAGTTATATTCAAGTCAGTAGTCTGGTTCTAAGACACTAGGTTCTGGAGACCTTTGTCTCAGTGATCCTGGCTTTTCCAGAGATGTGTCTGATAGGAACTCAAGTATCAGCTATGAGCCGAGCTCCCTTTCCTTTCTCTGTTAACTTCCTTCATAGAAAGACCATGATGCTACTTCCTACCATCCTTGGGGATAGGGCAGTCTGCACCTTTTGGCTCACCTCTTAGAACTGCTAGAACTCAGGCATGGCCAGGACAGAAATGTTCCCGAGTGTACTACTCCATCACTCAGATCCTAGCAGTTGGCTGCAATAGCTCTTTCCACGAAAACAAGAAGCTCCACCCTCACCCTTTCCAAAATACAACGGCCCATTTGACAATTCACCTTAAGAAAGGATACAGAACAAGACACATCCTAGTTGAGAATCATTTCCATGTGGTCTTACTGAAAAGAATGCAGAATTACAAATTAATTTGGTGAAAGCCTAACCATCCTGCTTCCTTACCCACTTCCTTAAGGACCTGTTTTTTCAGCAGGCGAACCACTCCAGTCACGATATACCAAATCTAAGTCTACTGACAGAGAAAACCGTTGAGCCAGGTAAATTTAGGAATCAGCTTTAAGCTGATATAATATTAGTAATTTTTTCTAAAAAATGTTAACGGACAGGGAAAAAGTGTTCATATCAACTTAATGTTTCATCAACTATTCTAAATAGCGCAGAGTGCTCAATGGTGGCATGCCTTCATCTGAATTCTTTTTTTCCCCTTATTTCACTGAGTGGTGGAGGAGAAAAAGTGAAACCTGACTTCACCTCTCTTTTCTACTTTTTAAAATACTTTCTTTAAAAATTCATAAAATAGGAGCACCTGAGTGGCTCAGTGGGTTAAGCCTCTGCCTTCGGCTCAGGTCATGATCCCAGGTCATGATCCCAGGGTCCTGGGATTGAGCCCCACATCGGGCTCTCTGCTCAGCAGGGAGCCTGCTTCCCCCTCTCTCTGCCTGCCTCTCTGCCTGCCTCTCTGCCTACTTGTGATCTCTGTCTGTCATATAAATAAATAAAATATTTAAAAATAAAATAAAAATTCATAAAATAACCAAGTCTATGTTTATCTATAGAAAGGCTTGTAATGGGTTTTAGTGACCAACTTTATCAACATCACCAAAAAGTATATAAACATATGACTCAGGGTTTAAAAGATAGAGGAAAATTAAGACTAGTAATATTTATAATAGGAAATGTGAATACTATTAGAATAAGACATTTTTAAAAGTGGCTTTTCTGTGTAATTTTGGAATAAATTTGTAGTTGCATATGTAATCCACAGCTGTGTGCAATTTGTAGATCCCAAAGACTTGGATTCCAAAATGCCAAAGCAGTTGTCAGAACAATAATGTCTATTATTACAGCCCTGACTACCCTTTAAATGGTGATTGGCTCCTTTAATGTAAGAAGAAGCTGTAAATATTAAGAACATATTAAGTGAAAAAGCAATTTACAAACCACTGTGTACACAATGCAAGCCCAGTTTTGTTTAAAATATATTTACATATAACTATATGCACAGAATAAAAGGATATACACCAAATGTTCACTGTGGTTATCTTTGGGTGGAGGAATTATTTAAGATTTTTTTTTTTTCTTTCTTCTTTGTGTCTCTTTTTCTCTGTTTTCCTAGTTTTCTACATGTGTCACTTTCCTAGTCAGGGTGATGATAAGGATGGTGGCCTGAGGAGGAGGAGGATCTCAGGAGATTCTGGAGATGTTTAGAGCATCCTGAACTTCCGGCCTGCTCTCCTCCTCCATCCTCCCTTCCTTCTCAGGGTTTTTGTTCCTCCCTGCCCAGGTGGTGGGGCCTGGTCTGGTCCTGTTGTGGGCTCATTGGGGCTTACAGACATCAGCCAGCTTACAGAGGTAGGAATCAGGTCCTTCTTTCTTAAACAGGAAAAAATTACTGTCTCTGATCAACACCAGCACGAATTACGTCAAGATATTCTAAACATTACATTGCTCAAGCTCGTATTCATTCAAGAGGGTGAGCCTTTAGAAAGAAAAGGCCTTATTTTATACTTCAGTGGAATGAAATTTTGCTTTGAGTTACTTCCATGTAACGGTCATGGGAGCCCCAGTTTCAAATCCACGTACAAAGCATTCTAGGCTTACAGCATGCCTCACAGACAGTAAGGTAAACAAAGCGGAAAACGAGCCTTCCAATGCCTTGTCTAGTGCAAATCCCTCTTGACAAAATAGAATTTGAATGAAATGAATGAATGTGTGTGTAAGACATTCGGGTTTTTTTTGTTTGTTTGTTTTTTTACTCTTTCATAAAAAGCATTCAGGTTTAAAATAGCGAGCAAAGTATTCGTAGTTTTCTAAGTTAAAAATATTTGAGTTGTGGTCATGATATTTGCCTTTCTCTAACCATGCTTGAGAACTCCATAAATCATATTTCTGAAATATGTGTAAATTAAGGGATACAGCCAATAAGACCACACTGTACAAAGAGAAGCCACAGGTAGCTCCATTTGTTTAACTTGTTTGGGGATGGATTGAAAATAGCCATTAAAAAAAAGAAAGAAAGAAAAAGGGTCCAGCAGAGAAAAAAACCAAGAAACTCCCTATACTGGACATGATATTCAGAAGATTTGGTTCATCCTACCTTGATTCAGAAGTGCATTCCTTATGGTACTGGTTCATCTCCATCCTTCACTGGGGCGGTCAGCCCAACCTCTTCCCCCCTACCCCCTACCCCCACCCCAGAGTATTGTGCACTGATGCCTTCGCTGCCTCTAATCAACAACTCTCTTTAGAGGTAGCACAGTTCAAGAGCCATGAAGAATTAAAATAAGAAAATTTTATTTAACATTTGTTAGGGGTACAGTGTGGGGATTCAGTGTAGTCAATCCAGTGGCGCCTGACTCCAAACTCTTCTACATTTCACATTTATTTTGGATTGAAACAGAGAAGCTTAGTTTGTCCAATATATTTAATTTTTTTTAGAAAGAAAGATGGTTATGAGTTATTTATAGAGTTACCACAAAATGCCAGACAATTTCTACCTAAAACTTCACAGCAGCTCCCTTGTAAACAAACAGTAACCACAGGAACCACGAATTTGGCTTCAGCAAAGGATTTTCTGACATACTGCTGATAGGTATGATATAAAGGTCAGGCATTCTAACAATGTAAACCAGTCAGGGGTCCTTTTTAAAACATATATAAATAACAATTTTACTGTATTGTAGTAACCTAAACTTCACCATTCTAACCATTTTAAAGTGTACAGTTCAGCGGCATATAGCACATTTACAGTGTTACATGACTATCATCACTATCTAGTTCCAGAACATATTCCTCACCCCAAAAGGAAACCCTGTACCCATTAGGCAGTTACTCCTCGTTTTCCCATACCCCAAGCCTTTGGCATCTCCTAATCTGCTTTTGGTTTCAATGGATTTGCCTCTCCTGGGTATTTCATATAAATAGAATTATACTGTATAGCCTCTTGAGTCTGCTTTCTTTAACATGTTTTTAAGGTTCACCCGTGTTGTAATATGATCAATATTTCAATCAGTTTTATGACTGAATAGTATTCCATTGTATGGATATGCCACAATTTGTTCATCAGTTGATGGACTTTTGGCTGTTGTGAACAGTGCTGCTATAAACATTTGTGTACAAGTTCTTATTTGAACAGAGTTTTTCAATTATTTTAATCCACAGTTTAATCCATACTTTGGAATGGAATTTTCAGTCTTACGGTAATTAAATGTGTAATTTATTGAGGTACTGCCAAATTGTTTACCACAGAGCGTGCACCATTTTACACACCCACCAGCAGTGTAATTGTACAGGGTTCCAATTTCTCCCCTTCCTGACCAATTTGTGTTGTTTTCAGGTTTTTTTATTGTAGTCATCCTAGTGCCTGTGAAGTGACACTCCGTTGTGGTTTTGATTTGCATTTCCCTAATGACTAATAATGTTGAGCATTTTTTCATGTGCTTATTGGCCATTTACATATCTTCTTTGGAGAAATGTCTGTTCAAGTCCTTTACCCCTTTTTAAAAAGTTTTTTTTTTGTTGTTGTTGTTGTTGAATTGTAAGGGGTCTTTATATATTCTGGATACTAGGCATTGCTCATACATGACTCACAAATATTTTCTCTCATGCTGTGTGCTGTCTTTTCACTCTCTTGATAATGTCCTTTGATACACAGAAGTTTTACATTTTGATGTTCAGTTTATCTGTTTTTTTCTTTTGTTGTTCATGCTTTTGATGTCATAGCTAAGAAACCATTGCCGAATCCAAGGTCATGAAGATAGAGCCCTATATTTTCCTTTGAAAGTTTTATTAGCTCTTATATTAAGGTCTTTGATTGATTATGAGTTAATTTTTGTTTCCAGTGTGAGGTAGATACCAGTTGCCTGGAGCTGCCATAACAAAGTACCATAGACCGAATGGGTTAAGACAACAGAAGTTTATTGTCTCAGCAGGGGTGGGTCCTTTTGGAGAGGTTCACCCCGAAAATCTGTTCTATGCTTACCTCCTAGCTTCTGGTGATTGCCAGCAATCTGTGGGATTCCTTGGATTCGTAACTGCAATATCTGTCTTCATCTTCATCTTTACATCTGCTGCATTCCCATGTGTCTCTTTGTCCTAATTTTCTTCTTCTTATAAGGATACTACTCATTGAATTAGGACCCACCGTAATCTAGTATGACCTCATCTGGATTTGATTATGCTTGTAATAAGGTCATATTTATAAGTTCCAAGGATTAGGACTTAAACATTCATATTTTTGAGGGGACACAGTTCAACCCCATACATATGGTGTATTACATTGATTGATTTTATTATGTTGAACCTCCTTTATATTTCTAGAATTCCATTTGTTGATGGCATATAATTCTTTTAATATGATGTTAGATTCAGGCTGCTTGTATCTTAGGGAGGATTTTTTACATCTTTATTCATAAAGGATATTGGTCTCTAGTTTTCTTGTCATGTCTTCGTCTGGCTTTGGCATTAGGTTAAGGCCAGCCTCATAGCATGAATTAGGAAGTGTTCCCTTCTCTTATTTTTTGGAAAGAATTTGAAATAGACTGTTAATTCTTCGTAGAATTTACCAGTGAAGTCATTTGGTCCTGGGCTTTTCTTTGTTGGGAGGTTTTTGATTACCAATTCAATCCCCTCATAGAAATTTTTGAAAAATCACTAAGAGAATACTATGAATAATTGTAGTGTAATCTAACCAACAAATTTGATAATGTAAATGAAATGGACAAATCCCTAGGAACTTACATATATATAAGTGAATGTTATGTTCACTTTCTCTGCTGGACCCCCTTTTTTTAAATGGCTATTTTTCAATCAGAAAAATCTGATTCATGGACGAGCTTGCATGTCACACAATAAACTCAGAAATCTAATGTTATGTTCACCTCCTTTGACACTCCACAGCCTTTTCTTCCCCTCTCATAGGGCCTTAACATCCTGTGTATTCTTTTCTTTCTTCATGATTGCTGAGCTCAAGCAGTGATTGAGGGCTCAAGTTTTTTGCCTTCACTTTCCCCCATAACCCATCCTTGTCCATAGCGTGTTTAGAGGATGCACTGCTGGAAGTCTAGGATGGGGCAGGGGGCCTGGTAGTAAAGCACTCAACCCTTCAGAGGAGTGAGATGCCCAGAACATGAAACCATAGAGCTGTATATAGGAGTCACATACTTTTTTGGGTTTTCTCATGTCGTCATATATATACCATCTAACTTAGAAGTGTGTCCATTGAGAAACATTACACCAATCAGAATTATAGTTTTGAGTTACTGTGTCCTGTTATTATAGCCATTGCTGTCTTTTATAGTACAGCTGAGTTACTAGTCTAGAATAATGGTTTCAACAGGAGTGCACATAAGAATCTTTTATGAACTTCAGAAAAATACAGAATGCCAGACCTCCAGCCCAGATCTGCTGAGTTGGAATCTCTGGGAGATGGAGGCTTGAAAATTGTAAATTTTAAACCTCCATATTCATAAGGAAAGAATATCGTTGGTGACCTCCAGGGAGGGCAGATGAGAGGGGAACTCTGCATCTTTGTCTTTTTTGAATTTTTCAGCCCGATGAATATATTACCTGTTCAAAAACTAAATTGTAAAAAAAAAAAAAAAAGGCACACTCAAATACTACATGTTGTTTCTGTGTGTGTGCATGCGTGCGTGTGTGTGTGTGTAGGTGTATGTATACACACACATATGTCGTAGGAGAAAAAGGATAAAAACATGCTTGGGGATGGAAGCACACTGTTCAAGGGGATGAGGACAGATGGAAAGTGAGAGTTTGCATCTATTTCTAGTGTTTTATTCCTTTAAAAAGAGATTAGAAGTAAAATAGCAAAAATCTGCTCAAGTTGTTGGTGAGTATATTGGTGTCTGATGTTCTTTTCTGTTGGAAAGATTGTATGGTTAAGAACATATAAACATTTAAGACATTTAAAATCAAAACAAAGTAAAAGTAAAAACTGTTCACAGTAGCGCTAATGAGTTCCCAGCTGGCTCTCCAGAACAGGCTCTGGATGGGGAGCTCGGATTTTCATCAATAGGGAAGTATAACGTGGGGCTTCTGTATTTTACCAACACAAGTAGCCCAGGGACCCCGAGTAGGGTCTGTGTTGTCTCTGGTGTGCGTTCCCTGTCTGAGGTATTTGTTTCTTTTCATTTCAGGTGTTTGTGGCCAGTCCTCACAAAACACAGCCTATTGTGGAGATCCTACTAAAAAATCAACCCAAACTCATTGAGTTTCTGAGTAGCTTCCAAAAGGAAAGGACGGACGATGAGCAGTTCAGTGATGAGAAGAACTACCTGATTAAACAGATCCGGGACTTGAAGAAAACCACCCCTTGACGGTCTCAGCCTCTCTCCCGCCACAGTCACTGTCTCATTTGTTCAGTTTGTACAGAAAGTGTTATTTCAAAAAGTAACTGTTCTCGGGAAGGCTTCGGAGGAGATACCTGGTTTTTCTCAATTCATTGTTCAGGGTAGATGGAATATAAACATTTGAATGAAAAAAATGATTAACCTAGAATAATGTATTCATTTGAATCAAGTCTGTGATGATTTTTGTGAAATCAGAGCCACTGTCTTAGACGTTGATAAAAACAGCTTTAACCCTTTGTTGACAAAAGGCAGCAGGGCCGTGGGCTTGCAGACCCGAGCCCTGAGTCACCACAGGCCACCGAGTAGAAGCCCCAATGACGGGCATCCCTGAGCCCTCAAGGTTATGTTCTCCTCAGAGAACTGGGGGTGGGGGCAAGAGGCGCAAAGCCATTCCACCCGTCTGCACTTGGACGTACAGATTTCTTTTTTTAACATTATATTAGTCCCCATACAGTACATCATTAGTTTTTGACATACGGATTTCTCATGGTGCTGAAAGCTCTGGCGAGACAAGGCCCGTGTTTTCAGTCATCACAAGTCCTTGTTCCTTGCCCGTCTGCTTTTGACCGTGACTAACTTCCTAGGGAAGCGCAGGCCTCTCTCTGCTTACAGTCCCACTCAATGACCTGAGCCCCCTCCGAGCAGTTCTCCTCAGCACCCCACTCCTGGCATACCCCCTGCACCCACAGCCCGGGTAGCCAGGAACTGGCTTGGCCAAAGTAGGACAGGTCAGCTCAGCATGGGTCACGGGGACATAGGGTACCTGTGGGTATGACCTGCTCACTTGAGAATTTGGAACAGATGGTATAGGACCACAGCTCTAGCAGTAATAAACACTGTCGTTTCGCTCTGACTCCTGGAGTATTAGAGAATGTTTGGAATATTTCATTCCTGTCATTATGGGAGAATTCTTTCATGGTGAAAGTGTGCTTTAGAGTAGGAATCATTGCATTGGGAAGGCTTATGTGTACAAAACCGTGGGTCCAGGGGTTTAGCCCGCTTTTATAGACAAGGGAACATTGCCATTGGGAGGGCAAATGAGTAAATGTGTGAAAACTTCTCAGAGGACTAAAATTTATCTTTTCAGTTTATTTTCTAATTAGCTGGCACTCTAGTTTCCCATCAAAGCTTTCATCAAAAAGGTAGAAAACCTACAAAAATATGGTCTCAAATACTCTCTTGCATACTGGTATGAGTAAGGACTTCATTTGTGTTCTTTAAAAAAGGCATGGGCCAAAAACAACAAAAAAGGCTGTGGTTTATTTCAGACATCAAGTGTATAAAAAGAAATTTTAAAGCTATATTTACAAGACATTAGGGGTATAACGATTAATGTGTATTTTTTCAGAATTCTGTTTTCAAGTTGTGAGTTGTGGCCTTCTGTAAGGACGCTTGCTTTATATAATATCGTGTGCTGTGTTCTTCAACCCGGTGTTTCTCCACGAGAGAGGGAAGGGTGCTTCTCCGGGGGTCATTCTCCAGGATCAGTGCCCTCTGTAGATTTTCTATCTGGAGAATTAGCTAGCAAGCCTTCACCCCTCTCGGCAGGGGCCCAGCGTGGACTCCTGAGGCATATGGAGTGGGCCCCGAGGGACACCTTCTGGCCAGCGTCAACGTGGAGGGTCAGCCCACAGCCAACTGATGACCTTCATTCTTTACTCACTGAAGTCAGATTATTTTTATAATGTTTCCTGACAGTCCAGAGTCTCTTAGAATCTGACTTTTCTGGTTTTACTTATTTGATTAAAAGAGAAGACAGTAAATATTAAAAAAGAGAGAGAGAAGGCTCAATAACCATTGGAAGTTTATTCGGTTGCTAACACCGTTCCACAACATCTTAGGATACATGTTTCTATTTGGAAAGCAAGGCCTTTGATAAATAAAACATTTTATTTCCTCTGGGTTTGAATTAGTTCTTTGCTTGCAAGTCCCTATTCTAGTTCAGTACCCATCAGACAGGAAACTGGAGCCTAAGAGGCATTAATGAAGTAGCTGGGGTTTTGTGTGATACAAATTTGTAAATTATTAATGGGAAAGGCGGGGAGCAAGACGCTCACAGTCAAAATATATTTGCACAAAATTCACTGTAAATATTGTGAGAATCGAAATTTGAGAACGTCCTATTTAATAAGCTATTTCGAAACACACATTTAAATAAAGACTGACTAAATAAAAAGGTGCCACACCGTCTGGTCAGTTTCGTTCCTCTGCATGTGGCTGGTCTGTGCTCCTGCCCCCTTTCCAGACAGGGAGCACAGTGGGAGGGCAGGCTGGCCTCTGGGGGGGTGCTCGGGCTGCCCAGCGACCCCACACCATTTTCCTTGGCACTTGGTTAACTCCATGACCCTGTTGCTGTCCTGTTGTCCAAGTGAGGCGGTCACTGCCGGAGCGGTACCTGCCTGCCACCAAATACATCACAGCCAGAGGCACTCCCATTTTATATTTGAGGCTCTGAGCAGTTTAACTCCCCCAGACTGCACGGACTACACCTGGATACAAACTGATGGTGGCCTGAGGCCAAAGTCTGCTCTTCCTCCCTTGCTCATCCTCAAGCCTGGGAAGGAGGGGAGGTCAAGGGTGTCAGGAAGTGTTCTGTGCCCTTCACTGCCGCCAGGAGGCTCCTGGGGGTCAGTCCCATAGTGAGCCATCAGGGATTGAGATCATGATTTTCTTGGACAAGACTCTCGGCTAAAGCCAGGCATCTTCCCAGATGTTAGGATTACTCCTGGAGAAAAGGCCAGGGGGCACACGGCCCTTGTGCAACCTTTCTCAACTGTCAGCCTCCACAGGTTCTCATCCTGGTGGTTCTGGGGCAGCATATACACTGAGGAAGAGTGGCAGAGCCTTTTGAAAGCCTCTGTGACCAGCCAGACTGGTTTGAGTGACACAAAGCTGCATGGAGCCATAGTACCGTGTGGAAAGTACACAAGACCCGGAAGAGATCATAATAATGTAAAAGAAAATGAAACTGGAAAGTTGCTACAATTTTTTTAATATGAAAAGAGAAAGGTTTCAAAGTAGATTCACAGATCTTTCTAGTCTACTTGTATTAGAGGAAATTAAGATTTTATATCTTCTATTTTTTTGTTTGTTTGTTTTCTCTGAAACACTGTGTGTTATGTTTGGCATGAAATCACCAACTTTCTGTTTATGTTCTTTCAGGAAGGTTTTGGATACAGCAGTGGGCCCTGCAGTTGGACAAAGGTCTGAAACATATAAAGCTAGACTGTGGTCTTCTTAAGAAGATTGAAAAAAAGTGAAGAGGGATGTGAGCAAGGACACAGTGTTGTTTTTAAAATACAGAAAGTGCTTGTATGTCACTAGTGTAGTGAAGCAAAAGAAAAACAGCATGATAAGCCTGGCTGGCACTAGGCCTCCATATCCACTTCACAGAGGAGGACACTAAATTATAGAAAGGGTGAGGACCTTGCTCCATATCAGACAGCCAGCTGCAGAGCCAGGATTTAGGAAGAGGTCTGACCCCAAAGCCGTATCTTTGGAAACCAGGATGCATACCCAGGCAGCCTCCCTCCCGGCGGACCTGCTCTTCAGCTCTCCACCCCAGGAGGGGCAGACCCTTCCCTCATCATGGCCTCCAAGGAAAATCGAGAATCCTGAATTTCAGGGCTCAAGGATAACTCAGTGAAAAGACTTCAGATTCATTGAAGGAGGTCAAATTTGTTCCTCTTGGTTGTCTCATGTTTGGAAGATCAAATCAGACCTATAGGATAAGGAACTCAATCTTGAATTTCTCCGCCATTTTGAGCAATCCCTTGACTCTACGCCAGTATTCATTTCAGACTGTAATACTGCACCTGCTTTTGTTTTCTTGGCTCGCTTTTTCAGCTGGACATAAGATTGGCTTAGATTTCCTGATAGGAGTGGTTGCTGCCCAGCCAGCCATTCTTCCATCTCACATTTATCCCATGGCCCAGTGCCACAGAACTGCCATGAGGCAACAGTCTGATGGACACACATCTGATTCCTGTCAGGAGGAGGGTGTATGACGACTGACACCGTACCATCAAGTCACAAGGCCACATAAAATTCACAACTCCATTACCATCAATTAATTCAATACTGATCATAGATTAATCACTACACTGTGAGCCATCTATGTTACTTTAAAAAACTGTGATCATGGGGGATCATTAGGGGAACACTTTGTAATACACATTAATTTGTCTTTTAGGGAAGGTTGGAAAACATGAGTCCCCTCAAGTTTAGTTCTGAAATGTAAAGCCCAAAGCAGGGACACCTGGGTGGCTGAGTTGTTAGGCATCTGCCTTCGACTTGAGTCATGATCTCAGGGTCCTGGGATTGAGTCCCACATTAGGTGCCCTGTTTAGTGGGGATCCTGCTGCTCCCCCTGCTTGTGCTCTCTCTTTTTCTCTCTCTGACAAATAAAATCTTTAAAAAATAAATAAATAAAGCCCAACTAAAATATTTCTTTATCCAATCATGTGTTTACTCCTTTAACCTAGCATCCACTGAACTAATTCTCCATACCTTTCAGGGGTTGATCAGGGAACAACCACAGAGTGACACACCCAGATTACCACAGGGAAACGACCTCGTACACTGTCCCTGAGTCAGCAAAGGAAGGGCAGGCAGACAAACCTGGAGGTTATGAGGAAGCTCTGTAATCTTCCATCATCCCGAATGCGGCTGACCTCAGGACAGGATGGCACAATTCACGGTGGAGCTATCCAGGCTGAACCCTGACACACAGAAGCTGAAGAAGGAGGTGCAGGGGGATGTCCCCCACAACCCAATGCAAGGTGAGCTACAACAGCCCCTGTGCTGACCTTCCTGGTGTAAACATGGTGGCCACTTCTCTTCCCCTGGCAACTCTGACAACGTGCCCTTGAGACCAGTGCAAATTCATTAGTCCTGGAAACATGTTTCAGCTTTGCTGAATCAACACATTGCAAACCCACCACTAAGGGAACTGTTTCCACATCTACTTATTCCACATCTCTCTCAAATGACAGAGAGTTTTGCCACAGTGGAACGACACAGGGTTGGGGGTTGCCACACCTGGACTTAAGCCCCCCTCCACTACTAGCTCTTCGATTCTGAGAATCACTGAGCTTCAGCTTCCTGCCCAAAAAGTGAGGCAAAGAGACCTGCCTCAGAGGACGGCCC